AATTTAAAAATTGAAAATAATAAAACACTATGTTGACTTTCATGCTTAGGTTTGACCATGAAACAGACTTCACATCATAAAGAACATGTACTTTTATATCATTCCCAAATCATTAATAGTATAAAAAATTGAATGCATGGTTTATAATGCATATATTGTACCTTTGACTAAGGTATGTTACATTCCACAACTTCAAAACTACCCAGCTCTCCAGATTTCTGATATCATAATATTACAACAAAAAAATTAAAATTATTACTTTACTATTTCTTTACATTTCCCAAGCAATTGAAAACCAAACCAAACCTGTTGCTATTGAGTCGATTCCAACTTACAGCAACCCTAAAGGACAGAGTGGAGCTGCCCCATAGGGTTTCCAAGGAGCAGCTGGTGGATTTGAACTGCCAACCTTTTGGTTAGCAGCTGAGCTCTTAACCACTGCGCCACCAGAGGCAATTTAGTAGGTTAAAAATAAATGTGATTTTTTATAAGAAACAGTTTAAACAATTAAAATGATTTCAAAATATATTCTTTATAGTTTTAGAACCTCAATTTAGTTTAAAAAAACAAAGCACCATCTCTCATAAATTATTTCATATTTTTTTATTTAAATTTCAGTTTGTTGCATATATATTACTTAACCCACTTTATACTAATGCCTTGCTCATAAATTGAGTTTTTTTTTCTTCTTAAAAAATTGGTAGGCTTAGAGAAAAAGACTAGTTTTTTTTTAAAATAGTCTTTGATAATTCTTCACAAGATTATAGATTTAATGAATATGAACTACTAAGAAAAACACTCAAGGGTTTTGATTCCCTGTATAAGCACATATTTCCCCACGATTTCTAAGTGAAAGTAAGACATAATTTGACTTTTCCTTTGGTGACTATTTGGCTTATTTACCCTATGGATTTAAAACTGTAAAGGTGTGAGAAAGGAAAAATGGAAGCATGCTTGGGAATATTGAAGTACCAGATTATGCTTCTATCCATTGCTATTCACCTTTTCAGTAGTTCATCCCTACTTCCTGAAAAATTGAAAAATTGGTTTGCCCATGCTCTCCCTCTGGATAACTGGGGTATGAAGTGGTGGGGGGTGGGGTGGGGATAGGGAGGGTATACTCAAGAATTCTGAATAAAGAGACTAATATTTGTTGTTTAAAATCCAGGAAAGAGCAAGGGAGATTTTCACGTAAGCAATTATTTATAAGAGAAAAGAATATGACCCAAAGGATCTCATTATAAAGTTGAACGAAGTTACTAGTATTCATGATATCGCTTTCTCTGTGTCCCAGGGGATTCTGTCACTTGTATTTTAACTTCTCCCAAGGCAATTTGAAGCTATTAAAAATTTTGAATGAGTTTTATAATAGTTCATATAGCAAAATTAGCTCTAGTTTTTCTGTCTTAGAGAAAGACAACAAAAGAACTGATTATTATTCATAATGAAAGTGAATTAATTAAAACTCACTCTCACATCTTCGTTTCTTTTCACATGCCAGGTAGTCATCAAAGAAGCATTAGGAAATAACAAGATCACCAGAGACTTGGAATCATTCAGAGCCACTATCTAATAAGCCCTTTCTCCAGTGTATGGTCAGCTTGTTAAATGGCATCAGTGTCCCTCCAGGGAAGGCTGGAGGGAAGACTCTTGAATAATATTTTGCTGCATTGCAGGGTTCTTTCTTAAACAAATTTTCCTCTTCCTCAATTGAGAGGATCTGGGTCTTTGAACTGGCTTAGGCCTGGAAACTGAGTAAGAGACCATGAATCCCCATTATGTAGATTCAAGTTACATTTCTGCTCTTAGACTCAGAATTTTTCTGTTAATATATTTCAACTAACATCTGAGTAGGCTACCCAAGTATTTCATTTTAGGAACTCCGTGACAAAATAACCATCACCACAGATTCCTATAGTTCAAAACACCTCAGGCCTGTGGCTTAACTGTAATAATTTCTCCCACCTTGTCTATGATGAGTAAGTGCCAACTCCTGGCATCTAATTTTTCAGGATATCTTTATTCTCAATATAGGGTAATCCACTTTCACTGCTGCATCTCCCACCACCATCTCTGGCTCATAGAAGTCAAATATCAAGAGTATTTTAAGAATACTGAAGTCCTCGTTACCAATTAATTTCTTAATGCCTTAGTGAAGGAAGTGTCCTCCATGCTTTCCATAAGGGATATTTAGATGGTGGCTGAGCACATTGCATTAGATAGTTCCAAAAGTTCCTATCTTCCTGAGCCTGCTGATTTCTTATTCTACAACATGAAAGGGAAGGTCCAGCATCTCAATCTCATTGATTTTAGACAACCATTGAGTTCAAGTTTCAGTCAGCCTTTGTAGAAGAGTATCCATACCACTTTCAGATGTTTGAGTTAATCCATTGTATCCTGTACTCTGGGTGAGAGCACCCAAGTCAATAAATTCAGATCATTCAAGCCTTATATTTCAAATTCCTTAAAATCTATTCCTATACATACTCTCAAACTTCTTCTCATATAAATTTTGAGGAACTGCATTCTTTTTGGAGTAATAGACCATGGAGCAGTATTTGTGAGAGTGTAATGATATTCCTTTGTGGTTATAATTTTCCCTGATGATCAGTGAAATTGAAATTGAGCACATTTTCATGTATTGGCAATTTGGATATCCTGTTTTGTGAAATGATTCTTCTATTAGATTGTCTTTTTCTTATTGATGGGTAGTAACTCTTTATTCTGGGTAGAAGCCCTTTCTGGGACACACGCACACACACATACACACACACAGCCTCTCTTAATCAGTCTTTAGATAAACAGAAGTTCTTAAGTTTGCTACAGTCTGATTTAATCATTTTCTAATATGGTTAATGACTTTTGTGCCCTGTTTGATAAATCTCTTCCTATTAAAAATTCACAAACACCATTAAAAGCCATATTGCTTTACCTTTCACATTTGTATCTATGACCCATTTGAAATTGATTTTTGTGTATGAAATCCACATATTTTTCCCCTCCTGTGGATATTCATTTTATCTGGAACCATTTATTGAAAAGACTATCCTTTCTCTATTGTACTGCAGTGTCACATTTGTCATACACTGGTTGACTGCGTATGTGTTGGTTCTGTTTCTAGACTATATTCTGTTTAGTTGATCAGTTTGTTTATCCTTTATAATGTTTGCTGGAAGTTTAATAATCATCAGGTTAAGGAGGTTTGTTTTTATTCCAAGTTTGCTAAGAATATTTGTTTTCACAAGAATGAATGTTGAAATGCTTTTTCTGAATCTATTGACATGTTCATTTTATTTTTCACTTTTATGCTGTCAATGTCAGGGATTACAGTAACAGAATAATGTGGTGATTGATTTTTGAATGTTAATCTACCTTACATAGTGGAAGTAAACCCACTTGGTTGAAATGTATTATTTTTTTTCTTTATTTCAGGATTTGATTTGCTAATATTTTGTAAAGGATATTTGAGAGATATTGGTATACAATTTTCCCTACTTGTAATATACTTACAAAGTTTTGAATTCAAGATCATGCTGGCTTTATAAAAAGAGTTAATAAATACGTCACATTTACTTACTACCCATTTAACAAAAAAATATCTATGAACTTGTTGGATGAACACAGAAATTTGATAACAAGGTTTACTTTTTAACATTATAATCTTATTAGACTTGGTATCCAACTTACTCCTACACTTTATTTTGATAACATTATCTTAAGAAAGTCTTGATTCATGCATATAATAGCTACAATGGAAATATATTTTAGTCAAGTCACTTCGTATATAAGAGTTATTTTAAAGTAGGCAGAGATGGCAAGAGTATTTGGGATCCGCATAAAAATGATTTAATCTTAACAGGAACAGATTTGTCAGTTATAGGTAAAAATTTGAACAGATTATTGAATTTATACATTTTTGTTACAGGATAATGACAGTATAAAGATATTTGTTGTTGTCATTAGGTGCCGTTGTTCCAACTCATAGCGACCTTATGTACAACAGAACAAAACACTGCCCTGTCCTGTGTCATCCTCACAATTGTTGCTATGTTTGAGCCCATTGTTGCAGCCACTGTGTCAGTTCATCTCATTGCTGGTCTTCCTCTTTTTCGCTGACCCTCTACTTTACCAAGCATGATGTCCTTCTTAAGGGACTGGTCCCTCCTAATAACATGTCTAAAGAATGCTCCTTTCTAAGGAGCATCCTGGCTGTACTTCTTCCAAGACAGATTTGTTCATTCTTCTGGCAGTCCATACCCATACCCCATACCTATTGCTTTCAAGTGGATTCTAACTCATAGTGACCCTATAAGACAGAGTAGAACTGCCTCATAGGGTTTCCAAGAAGTGGCTGGTGGGTTCAAACTGCCAGCCTTTTGTTTGGGAGCCGATCTCTTAACCACTGTGCCACCAGGGCTCCTGGCATTCCATGGTATACTCAATATTTAGCAAACAATAATTTGAGTCAAACTTTTGTAGACTGCTCCTCCCCCTCCTCCTTAACACAACACTTGGGCTCCATAGAACCTGCTTTGTAGCCACTTCTGTAGACAAATTGTCAGAGATGATAACTAGCGACATTGAAAGACATTTTAAGTTTTTTCTTTTTTTTTTTTAAGAATCAACAATTGACAATGAGGGATATTGAGGCTAAAATATTATAATCAAAATGTTTAGGCATTTTTTCTCTCTCTCTCCCAGGTAATATCTACAAAATAACTACAAAACAATTCGTCTATAACTAAAGGTTATTGTTGGGTACTGTCGATTCTGACTCATAGACCCCATGTGACAAAGTAGAATTGCCTCACAGGGTTTTTTAAGCTGTAATCTTTACAGAAGCAGATCACCAGGTCTTTCTCCTTTAGAGACGCTGGGTGGATTCAAACCACTAACCTTTCAGTTAGCAGCCGAACTCTTAACTGTTATGCCACCAGGGCTCCTAATCTAAAAGTTAGACAGAACCAATTTATGTATTAGAAATTTTTGATAGAAAGATGTTAGTGTCCTGTTGTTTCTACAGAACCTTTTTCTTTTCCAACTAGCCTGTTTATGGCTCCCTTGAACTCCTTATTCCTTAGTGTATATATCAGTGGATTTAAGCTGGGAGTAACAATGGAATAAAAGATACTGAGAAGTTTACCCTCGTACTGAGATGGACTGTTTCCTGGTTGTATGTACATGTAGATAACAGTCCCACAGAAGATGGATACCACAATGAGATGGGAAGAACAGGTCCCAAAAGCTTTTTGTCTTCCTGTTGCAGATTTAATTTCGAGTACAGCTACAGCAATGAAGCCATACGAAACTAGAAGAAGAAGAAGTGGTGCAAGGAAAATACAAAAACACAACGCAAATAAAGTTTCCTTCATGGCTGTGGTGTCTACACATGCAATCTTGACCATGGCAGAAATTTCACAAAAATAATGACCCAGGTGATGGTTTCCACACTGAGGAAGGCTTATGGCATAGGGGGAAAGAATAATGAAATTAGTGATACCAATTCCCCAAGTCATAGCCACCAGGCCTTGACAGAGCTGGGGGTTCATTATGTTCATATCGTGTAGAAGCTTGCAGACAGCACTGAACTGATCACAAGACATCACAGCTAGAAGCATACATTCAACTGTGCATAGTGCCACATCAGTGAAAAGTTGAAAGGTACAGCCACCAAAGGTTATTTTCTTGTCTTTACCCCAGACATTGACCAACATCTGTGGGACCGTATTTGTGGTGTAACAGAGATCCAAGACGGCCAAATTTCTAAGGAAAAAATACATGGGGGTTTGGAGACGTTCATCCAACAATGGCAGCAGGATGATGGCTGTATTTCCCATCAAGGCAATGGTGTAGAAGAAAAAGACAATCCCAGAGATGATCATCTCCAGCTGAGGCTGTCCAGAGAATCCAAGGAGTATAAATCCACCAAAGTAGCTTTCATTGATCATTTTTTCCTGTTTCTTAATATCAGCATATTGGAAAATACAGTGAAAATATTTATAAAATATAGTATATTTATAAACTATAGTATATAGCTAGGAAAAAGCACATCAAGTAATCTCATTATTATTATTTCGTCTGTTTATTCAACTAGGTCTAAAATATATTCCCAGGGCATTTTCCTGTAAGGTTCGTACTCTTAATCACTTTCAGTTTTAGAAATATACTTTTGTCTTCTTCTATGCCAAAGTAAAAATCTGCAAAATTCTGACAGGAAAATCTTGAGCAAAATGATTGGTTGAAACTGGATGGACTTCTTTTATATTGATAAGGATTTTGGGAAAGGTGGCTGGGAATCTATAACAAATTATTGCCTCTTCATCAAAGGGTTCATAGAAAATACAGATTCTATGACTCTTGTTATGCCCTTTTTCTAATACTTAAGCTGCATAGGTTCAATCCTGCTATCCACATTGACTCTGTTATCTGAATGTTCTTCCTTATATTTCACATTCAAACTTTCCTTTCATCTCAAATCTTGTATTTCTAGATATTATCTGCTTTCCCAACCCACAGAACCAGCAACCTTACTCTCTCATTGCAAATGTTATCTTTCCATCTGCACTTTTGATTTCATCTTGTATATCTCCTATAGGGAGTGCCTGGGTGATGCAAAATGTTAACGGACTCAGCTGCCAAGCAAAAGTTGGATGTTTGAACCCATCCAGAGGTGCCTAGGAAGAAAGGTCTGGCAATCTATTTCTGAAAAATCATCCACTGAAAATTCTACCAAGCACAGTTCTACTCTGATACACATGGGTTCACCATGCTTTGAAGTCAAGTAGATGGCTACTGTTTTTTCTCCTCATACATATGGAGTAGTTCTTTCTAACAGTGTATCCATTTCTCACAGCCGATCTCTAATAATCTAATCATTTTCCCCCTTTTTCTCAATCTACACACACGCATACACACACAGAAACTGATTCTAGAAATCTGGTGTTTAAAATGTTAAAACTTTTCACGAGGGAAAGTATATTATTTGTGTGCTTATATCCCTAATGATTCTCCTTAGGATCAGTACAGAGAAAATATTCAATAAACATGTAATATTTATTAAAAGGAACTTTGATAACAACATCTCTTTCCCTTTATATCTAAAACAAGTAGTATCTCTTTAAAACTCAATTCACAATACTCAACTAAAAATGGTCTCTCAAACACATAAATGTGTTCCTAGTTTCTAAACCAGTGTCTCTTCTAAATTACTTTTCTACTTGACTTCTCTGCAGCAGACTAATAATACCTCCTGTACTGGAGCTGTCCTCTGCCTTCATATATACTTCTTTTTAGTTAGCTTATCACTAGCATTTTCTCCACTGCACTTTCTATTCCTTTCCTTCCTCCAATCTGTGTCTATCTCCAAAGTTCTCTAATCAGATATCTGACCTCTTTCCTTCCTTACTCATTTCCTCTACCACTATAACTTCAGTTACTAATTTTACATGTAACTGACCATCGTATTTCTTCTGACCTACTCTTCTTTTGTATCTGTAGATTTACAATCTTAGCTAATTGCTGGACATTTCCACTAGATTTTCCAACCGTTATCTCCCACATCACATGTACACAAAATTGAATTAATCATATTTTACCTCTTAAAACAAATCTTTCATAACTCACAAACTTACAAACATTATATTCACATAGAAGTCTCATAAAATACCTCCTAGACTCACAATAAATGTTTGTTAAAATCAATTTATGAATTTGTTTGGTAGAAAATAAAAAAAAAAAAAACAATCATTTTCATTTTAGATCTACTTTTCATCAGAAATCAAGTTGGGTTGATTTTTATTTTTATTTTCCCAAACTTTGAAAGAAGGAAAATTGCTATAAAATCCAAAAGGTTTTATGCAAAAAAAAAATAGGTGAAAGTTTACAGAGCAAATTAGTGTCTTATTCAAAAATTTATATACAAATTGTTTTGTGACATTGGGTTGCAATCCCTGAAATGTATCAGCACTCTTCTCCCTTTCTATTTCCACCTCAGGTTCTCCATGTCCATTTGTCCAGTTCTCTTGTCCCTTTTGGGCAGGTGTTGCACATTTGGTCTCGTTTACTTGATTGATCTAAGAAGTATGTTCCTCATGTGGTTATTGTTTGTTTTAGAGGCCTGTCTAATCTTTGGCTGAAAGGTGAACTTTGGGAGTGGCTTCAGTTCTGAATTAGAAGGCTGTCTGGGGGCCATAGTCTTGGGGGTTCCTCCAGTCTGTTAGACCAATAAATCTGATCTTTTTTGTGTGTGTGAATTTGAATTTTGTTCTACATTTTTCTTCCACTCTGTCCAGGACCCTTTATTGTGATCCTTGTCAGAGTAGTTGGTGGTGGTAGCTGGGCACCATCTAGTTCTTCTGGGCTCAGGCTGGTGGAGGCTGTAATTCATGTGGTACATTAGCCCCTTGGACTAGTATTTTCCTTGTACCATTGGTTTTCTTCATTCTCCTTTGCTCTGGATGGGATGGGACAAATAGATTTATCTTAGATGGCTGCTCACCAGCTCTTAAGACCTCATATGCTACTCACTAAAGCAGGATGTAGAATATTTTCTTTGTGAACAATATCATGTCAATTGACCTAGATGACCCCAATTTTATGCAATTTTTTTGTTTGAATTAGAGAATCGTTTAGAATATTTTCAATACAACATAATTCTTTCCCCACTTACCCTACTAAGCTTAGTGGATGCTTCTGTGCTGATGATTTAATCAAAGATTATTCTGAAGAAAAAAAAACAATTCTAACTTTTCTGAAGTAGGAAATGTTTCCTCTTCTTTGTACCGAACCAAGACTGAGAATGCAGTTCTTCATTACTTCTGCCATTTTTCCCACTTGTCATTGGGATCCTACATGGTTGTGGCAGGAGGTAATCCCTGCCTCTCAACTTTCCCAGTCACATGCCCGTCTAAAAAGAATCCTTCTATTTATATGATTCTATAGAGAAACATCTTCAATGTAAAAAATAAGTAGGTAATTTTCCCTAAACAACAATGATGAAATATTTTGAATCTGGGAAGACCTTTGGGACAGTGTGTTATCTCATTAACAATGTGAATTGTAAAATTACTCAGGGTAGGAAAAAACATTTCTAAAAATCTCCTAGAAGAAATATTATGAATAAGCATAGCTAATTGACTTCTCAATTTGTGTGAAAATTAAAATAATCATGATTGTTACACACCACAAATACACACAGTTACCACTGAGTCAATTCTGACTCATGGCAACTCCATGCATACCAGAACAGAACTGCTTCAGAGGACTTTCAATGGCTGATTTTCTGGAAGTAGATCACTAGGTCTTTCTTCTGAAGTGTCTCTGGGTGGTCTCAAACCTCCAACCTGAAAGTTGGCAGCCAAGTGCATTAACTGTTCATACCATCTAGAAACTCTGATTTTTATTATAAATTATATTAATATAAGATGAATTAAACAATTACAATAGTGCTTTACAAGTCAAAATACATTTTTATATTTTATTTCATCAATAAAATACTTTCATGAGGTAGGTATCTTTAGTCCCTTTCATATGGAAGAACCTTGTATGTCTAGAAGCTATAGATTATCACAAGGTAATGCAGGTAATGAACAATACAAATGAGGCATGCAAACCTACATATAATAATAATTCTAGGCTTTATTTTTTCTATTGTGTTTACTTATTTATAATCTAAACTTTCAAACACATTCTAATAACAATGAAATTCTTGGTTTCTGCAAAGAAGGCACCTTTAGCAGCAGATGTACTCATAGTGGTGTAGCAGAGACATTGCCACAGAAAGGAAAGGTGAGAGAAATGTGGTGGTAATTACCTGATAAACTTATGCCAAAAATAATAATAATAATAATGTATTATTTAAAAATCTACCCCCTATTTCCATATAGATCATGTTAACAAATACATTATATCTAGTTGAGAACACACTGATCAGTCATATTGTTGCTGTTGCTAGTTAGTTGTTACTGCGTTGGGCCTGGACTCATGGCAACTCCTTGCACAATGGAAGGAACTGCTGCCCAGTCCAGACAGTTGTGATTCATAGGGTTTTCACTGGCTGATTTTTGAAAGTAGCTCTCCAGGCCTTTCTTCTAAGTACATCTTAGCCTGGAAGCTCCCCTGAAGCCTGTTCAGCATCATAGCATCACTCAAGTCTCCACTGACAGAAGAGTGGTGGCTGCATAAGAGATTCATTGGCTGGGAATCAAACTTGGGTCTCCCACATGGAAGAGGAGAATTCTGCCAATGAACTACCACTGTCCTTGCTTAATTATATATACCCTGGCAATTGCCGTTTTGTAGATACATGTTCCTCCCCCCAAAATTTTGGGCAGTTTTTATTATTGAATAGCTTTAGTAATGCAATCAGAGAATGTAAGCCTTGAAAATTTTCCTAAGATTATTTAAAATGACAGGTTAAAATTCTAGTATTAATGTGAAAGATCATTACTTTCTCTTCTTTTTTGAGAAATCACTTCAACCAACAAGGAGAACAAACAAGCATAAAATGCAAACTTCATTAAAGAAACTGACCTCTGAAACAGAGATTCCCAAATAGAAAATATAAAAATATTTTGAAAGAAGTGAAGGTGAAACAAGCGTGGGCTGATACAGAAAAAGGATGCTCATTGTTGCAAATAGTTTCAAGAGCTCTTATCTTTGAATGCAGCTGGGGAATAAACCAGTTGGACCTCATTAAAACAGCAGGAACAGAGGATGAAGAATATCAATGGAGGAGCTCTTAAGCCTGATTTGACTTCTAGAATAAGCTAACAAGAAAGCACAGAGATAAACTATATTTGAAGGATATGTTCTATTGTTAGATCACTGAAAAGAAGCAAGGCTGCATTGTTACACCTAGAATTGACCTAGAAAATATCAGTTAACTGTGTACAAAAAAACTAAAAAAACTCACTTGGACACACATCTTTGGATCAGAAGGAGTATTCTTATGGCT